ATGTTCAGAAGGCCAGCTCGCACTAAATGGTCATGCTGGGCATGCAGACACAGGCCTATGATCTGGGCTGGCTGAGGATGGGAGTTGGTCATGGCACAGGGACTCTGTTGGGATGCCTTCTCTCTGTGTCTCTGTCTCTTAAACAGGGTGGGGGACATAAATGTATTTAGACAACTAAAAATTAAAGGAGAGGTGTTTAAGCATGGTTGGTACAACCTTACTAAGCTAAAGTAAAATAAAGAGTGTTACAGCCGGTCATGAGGTCTCCATGACTTAATAAACCCAGCCACCAACTTATTAAACACTAGTTAACACTAACTAATCATTAGTAAATACAACCATTAATAATCACAAGATCCTTCAAGAGCTAGATCATTTTTTCAGGTTTTTGTCATAGGACATATGTATTCTCTGGAGAGAGAGAGACAGAGAGAGGGAAAGAGAAATCATCCCCTGGAGGGAAGGCCACACCACAATTCTTTCTTCTCCATTCTCCTCTCAGGATTTGGGGCATGCATGGACACACATCCAACATGATTGTCAAGCCACCAGGTCCAGGACTCAAACAGTAGTTGGCCACATAGGAATCCAGTATCATAACCACCACACCACCTGCTGGGCCCAAGAGCTAGACATTTTAAAGCCTAACATTTCATCTTAAGTAACATATTTGAAATCTATCCTTAAATTGGTCTTCTGAAATACACTAAATCCATATTCATCAACTGGAAAACATTTCATCAAGTCACACTTTCAGGAGCACACCTAGTAGCTAAAACAGGAAATCACCACAGTTAAGCTTCTCTCTACTCATTAAATAGGGCCAGCAGATGTCAGAAGAGACATGCTGCTCAGGAATGCACAAAAATCTGAAGTTGGGGCCAGCAGGTGGCATGGAGGTGAAGGCAGCTGGAACCCACATGGCAGTCCTGGACCAGGTGACTTGAAAAACATGTCAGGTGCATGTGCACACATGCCCAAAATCCTAAGAGGAGAATGGAGGGATTGTGGTGTGGCCATCCACCTAGGGTTAGGGGGTGATGTATCACTTTCCCTTCCTCTCTATCTCTCTCAGTTTCTCTCTGGTGAGCATATACACCATATGGCCCAAACCTCAAACCCTAAGATCCAATCAAGTCAACACACTAAGTCACTGAGTTGGTTTATATACGTGCAGGTGCCTATTGTTGTGGCAAATACAAGGAAGAACCATAGACCGGTAGGGTTGGCACAGATCTAAGAGACAAAATGCCTGTTTTTAAGCCATTTAGAGTTTGAATGGAATGCTAAGTTTCACATTTAGGGAAGGAGGGAATTATAAAACAACACTATACATAAATTGTTTAAACAGAGACTGAAAGATGTTGTAAAAAGCCAGAGAAAGGAAAAATAAATTTGGACTAGACTTGGTCAGCAAAGATTTTAGGGAGATTATGAAGTTTCAGATGGTGCAAGAAGGAAGCAAAGCCTCTCTAAAGGCAAGTAGACCTTTCTTTGGAGAACAGGGAGAGTACCGGTAGAGA